GTGTTGCGGCACACAACCCGATCCCACCGAAAAACCACAATTCAGAAACAACAACAACAAAAATTCTCAAGAATTACAACAACAATTCTCAAGGAATAACAACAACAATTCACAAAGAATTTCCATAACCATCAATACCGTTTCCATCATATTCAACAACTAATATGCATTTTATGTCACAACAATAATTGCCCACCACAAGCCATATATGTTATTACCACAGTTGTTCCAATTGCATCATTTACGATTTCCTTCCATCATTTGTTTCTCAGCTCATACCACATAACACTGTCACAATCACACAGTTGGTTTATTGCCAAATTACTTACACCATCATATCGAGAGACTTAACAACGAACACTCAATTCATACCAGTCACAAGAATTTCACACATAATCCACGTAGATATCACATACCAAATATTCGTACATCAAACAAGGTGATTTTACAAAGGTCAAAGTTAGCCATACATACCTGGAGCCGAATTCCCTTTTTAACTTCTATTTTCAATTCACCAAATAGTCTAGGAACGTCAATCTAGTGCACAAGTTAACACATATGACTTAGAATTGAAGTTCACAATTGCTACTCAAACTTATTTAGGTTATCAACCCCTCTTGTACAATCCTTTACTCCTACCCAATTCCTCTTACTAGATTTTAGGTTTTAAAAAGGCATGCATGCATGTTTTCAACCATTATTTTCAAGAATCAATGCATGAGACTCCCCCCTTTAGTATAAACCTGAAAATCAATGAAAAGGGGTTAGGGATTTTACCTGCAAGAATGGGATGAAGATAATCACTTTGAAATTTCCCGGCCCGGATAGTATTGAAGAATCAAATTTGATGAAGATGACTTTATCTCTCAAGAATCCTCTCTTCCTCTCTCTTATTTTGTTCAGAAAACTCGTTAAAATGAGGGTTGGGGTATTTTATCAAAAAGGGGGTCGGGTTTAATATTTAGAAAAATAGGTACCCGAGTCAGATATGCGGTCCCACTTTGCGACCGCAGAATGGATCGCAAAAGTGCTCCAAAAATCCAATCCTACTGTTTGGGTGTGCGTCGGAAATGCGTTCTGCATACCCAATTTGCGGTCGCATAATGCACTGCATTTTATACCTCAAATTTGACTGACACATTGACTCACTTTGCGATAGAAATGCGGTCCGCATATCAGTTATGCGGTCGCATAATGGACCGCATTTTGACCTTAATTTAACCAAACCACTGACTCATTATGCGCCAGAAATGCGGTTCGCATACCTGATTTGCGACCGCATTCTGGACCGCAAAATAGCACTTTTCTGGAAAAACATGGTGCTTTGATATTGAAATACTTAGATCAGTATAATGGGTCCGAACCGCGGCGAGCAAGCTCGCCGCGAAGAGTTTTACACCTCCCTAACACATATTCGGAACCTGACCCTACGAGCTATTAAGTTTTGATCACAAATTTTTTTACGGGGCCTTACATCCTCCCCCTCTTAAAGTCATTCGTCCTCGAATGAGGATCTTGAAAATCAGTTGGTTTTTGAAAACATGATATGCAGACTCCCAATTTAAAAACATGATATGCAGACTCCCAATTTTAACTAACTCCCATATTTTTTAAAAATTTTGCCAGAGTTCCTTTGTAATTTAGACATATCTACCTGTCAGGGAGTCCCCAAAACACAATTCCAAGTACCATTACACAATTACAACTATCCCTACAGCTGGTATAGAATTCATTACCTCAACAATTGCACATATTCAATCAGCTGCTACATTTTGCACATAAATTAGTCACCTCAATGAGTCCCACATAATTTAACCGCTTCGACATACTTCACACATTTAAGTAAATCATTATCAATCTTCACTACGATTAGTTGCTTATTTATCACATGAGTCTTTATAAAACTTTCATTTACCAAAAAGAGGTTCACATGACTTAAACAATCACAACACATACAATTCTTACACCACTAGAGGGATTTCAATAGTAAAACATTTAGCAAGAAAAGATGGGGTGTCTTTGCACCAATTTGGACACAGTATTGATTTGTTTAGGGATAAGAGTTCGCACGATTACTACTAGACTTGCTCAAACAGATGGGGATATTTTTCCTTCATTTCCTTTTCCGCTTCCCATGTGGCTTCCTCAACTTGTTGACTTCGCCATAATACTTTAATTGAGGCAACTTCCTTGTTTCTCAATTTACGGACCTGCCTATCAAGGATGGCAACCGGAACTTCTTAATACGACAACTCTTCATTAACCTCGATGGTCTCGACTGGAACAATGGTGGATGGATCTCCAACCCCTTTCTTCAACATGGACACATGGAACACCGGGTGCACTAATGACATTTCAGGAGGCGATTCCAGCCTATAAGCCACCTGCCCTATCCTTTGAGCGATATGATACGGCCCGACATACCTACGACTCAACTTCCCCTTTCTCCCGAATCGCATGACTCCCTTCTTAGGGGATACCCTCAAGAACACCCAATCATCAACTGAAATTCCAATTCTCTTCGACGAACGTCCGCATAGGATTTCTGTCGACTCTGAGGAGTTTTCATCCATTCCTGAATGACTTTAACCTTCTCCATAGCCTGGTGCACGAGATCTGGCCCTATCAATTCTGCTTCACCCACTTCAAACCATCCAATCGGAGACCTACACCTCCTTCCGTACAATGCGTCAAATGGGGCCATCTGAATGCTAGCATGAAAGCTGTTATTGTAGGCAAACATTATAAGTGGCAAGTGATCATCCCAATTACCTTTGAAATCCAAGACACAAGCCTGCAACATATCTTCAAGCGTTTGAATAGTCTGCTCTGCTTGACCGTCAGTCTGAGGATGGAAAGCTGTGCTGAGATTCACCTGAGTACCCAAACCTTGCTGAAATTTCTTCCAAAAATTAGCTGTGAACTGGGCCCCTCGATATGAGATAATAGAAAGTGGAGTGCCATGAATCCTTACTATTTCCTTGATATACAACTTACCATATTGTTTTGCAGTGTCGTACTGGCAAAAAGTGAGCTGATTTGGTGAGTCGATCCACTATTACCCAAATTGAGTCGAATTTGCGCTGAGTGCGAGGTAACCCCACCACGAAATCCATGTTGATCATTTCCCATTTCCACATTGGTATTTCCATAAGCTGAGTTAATCCACCGGGCCGCTGATGCTCCGCTTTTACTTGCTGACAATTCAGACACTTAGATACAAAGTCCGCCACACCCCTCTCCATGCCGTTCCACCAATAAATCTCCTTGAGATCATGATACATTTTTGTAGAACCTGGGTGCACGGAATACCTAGAATTATGAGCCTCCGCCATGACCTTCTCCCGAAGCTTATCCACATTCGGAACACATAGCCTACCTTGACATCGCAATACACCATCCTTGCCGCCGAGTGAAAATGCCGAAGTCTTGTTATTCAAAACTGCTTCCTTCAATTGAGCCAACGCTGGATCAATAGATTGCTTTTCCTTGACTTCCGCCACGAGTGACGATTCTGCTCCATTATGCACCATAACATTCCCCTTGTCTGAGGCTGAAATGCAAACCCCAAGACTGGCCAATTGATAAACCTCCCGGGCCAAGGGCCTTTGATCCGCTCCCAAATGAGCCAAACTACCCATAGACTTTTGATTGAGGGCATCGGCCACCACGTTTGCCTTCCCTGGATGGTACAAAATGTTCATATCATAATCCTTGAGCAATTCTAACCACCGTCGCTGCCTTAAATTCAATTCCTTCTGCTTGAACAAATACCGGAGACTCTTGTGGTCTGAAAACACATCCACATGGACCCCATAAAGATAATGCCGCCATATTTTCAAAGCAAACACAACTGCTGCAAGCTCCAGATCATACGTCGGATAGTTCTTCTCGTGATTCTTGAGCTGCCTTGAAGCATACGCTATAACCTTCCCATGTTGCATCAACACACACCCCAAAGCAACCCTGGAGGCATCGCAATAAACCATAAATCCTTCCGTGCCTTCCGGCAAGGTCAATATTGGTGCCGAGGTCAACCTTGACTTCAATTCCTGAAAACTTTTCTCACAAGCGTCGCTCCATTGGAACTTAACTGATTTCTGCGTCAACTTAGTCAATGGGGAGGTGAGGGTAAAGAATCCCTCCACAAACCTCCGATAATACCCTGCTAAACCCAAGAAGCTACGAATCTCCGTCGGGGTCGTGGGTCTAGGCCAATCTTTCACTGCTGCAATCTTCTGGGGGTCCGCAGAATGGACCGCAAAAGTGCTCCTAAAATCCAATCCTACTGTTTGGGTCTGCGGCGGAAATGCGGTCCGCATACCCAATTTGCGGTCGCCTAATGCACCGCATTTTTGACCTCAAATTTGACTGACACATTGACTCACTGTGCGATAGAAATGCGGTCCGCATATCAGTTATGCGGTCGTATAACGGACCGCATTTTGACCTTATTTTTAACCAAATCACTGACTCATTATGCGGCAGAAATACGGTCCGCATACTTGATTTGCGACCGCATTTTGGACCGCAAAATAGCACTCTTCTGGAAAAACTTGGTTCTTTGATTTTTAAATACTTAGATCAGTACAATGGGTCCGAACCGCGGTGAGCAAGCTCGCTGCGAAGAGTTTTACATATTCCCAACACATATTCGGAACTTGACCCTACGAGCTACTAGGTTTTGAGCACAAATTTTTACGGGGCCTTACATCAGGGACCTCCGAGCTGAATTGGCAAGAGCTCACAGATAGCAGACCGATCTCGTCGAGTAGGTAACATAGATTTTTTGGGGAGCTTGACATAGAAATTTGATATTGGCGACTAAGACTTAGATCTTGCAGGTTCAGCAGAAGGCCGAAAAGATTGAGCGGCTTCGCGAGGAGGCTGAGGTGAAAGAGGTAGAGACTTTGGGGTGGAAGCAGAACATGGACCGTCTTGCCTTGGAGAAAGATACCGCTCGGGCCTAGCTATCTTCGGTTAAGCGTCAACTCTAAAGCATGAGGGAAGAGAGCCTGGTTCAAGCAAAGAAAATTGAAGAGCTCGAGCCTCGGCTGGTTGCTGAGCTTGCAAAGGCCGCATCTGCAGCGGAAAAAGCAAAGGCCGATGTGGAGGCGGTCGTGGCTGTCCATCGAGCCGACGCTGAAGCCGCTAACGCTCGAGTGAAGGAAATTTTCGATGCCGCTCAGGTTCGATTATCCCGCATTGCCGAGCATGCTAAATGCCAGTCTCGGAGAGAGACTCTCGAGGAGGTTCATGCTCGTGACTTTGACCTCACGACCGATATTTAGAACGCAAAAGTGCTAGAGGGCGAGGTCGAATATTTTCTCTCTGATGATGATGACTCCGGGAGTGTGAATGGATCCGAGAGCGGAGAAGATGAAGATGAAGCTCCCGAGAAGATTAGGTACTTAGAATTTTTTCCTTCCTTTTTGGATTTTTGTGTAAGGCCCTTGTCGGTCCCTTGTACATATTTTTGTCCATATATATAAAGAAATTTCTCTTTTGAATGCCTTCTCAAATTTTGTCATCAATCATGTTTTGTGCCTTGTAAAATTTTAGCACATTCTTATGCTTTAAACAAGGCCAAATACATACACAGCCCCTTAAAGTTGGCTCCAGTTTTCATTTAGACACTTTAACTAAGGCAAGTACCTATTGAACACTTCAACATTAATACAGGTATGTCTATTGAACACAAATTTGATAGCCCCAAAAGAAAATAAGTGCGTGAATCTGAGTCTCCTGTAACTCTATGTATTTGGCCTTTAAACAATATGTTCGAGACTTTGGTTTTAAATGACTTGATTGAAGCCATAATAATACTGTTTTTATAGTCGGGTTCGAGTGAAACCTGAATTCGGAGCAAAAGGACCATTAGGTTTGCTTTGAATGACAACGGACCCTCGATCTGTAGTCGAGTAGGTTCTTATTCGAATACGAGATAGCGGGACCCTTAGGTTCAAATAGAGTGAGAACGTGTTCTCAAACTCAAAGTGTGTTGGCACTTAGACTCTTTAACACGAAGTATTTTCCCTTGAAAATAAATAATCCGAGGGTGATGCCCCCCAGTATACAAGGTTGAATGTAAGGAGACCTCGGATACTCTAAGTCAGCACGAACAATGGTTGCCTCATTAAAAACTTTGCTAGAAAAAGCCATTTGGGATAAAAACCGGTCGAAGGGAAAAAGAGTGCAACACGTACTTTAGGGTCTTAATATCTTCCTGCTTGATGATAACTCCAATACTTTTGCTCGAACACCTGAAAATAAGTTAGTGAAAACGTAAATGAAAAAGGAGAAGGCCATACCTTAACAGTAGTATCGCTTGAGGAGCAAGATGTTCCACTTGTTTAGTAGTTTCTCGCCGTTTATCCTGCCTAGCTTGTAAGATCCCTTTCCAACGATATCGAGGACTTGATAAGGTCCTTCCCAATTTGGGCCTAGTTTTCCCTCATTAGGATCTCGAGTGTTGATAGTGACTTTCCGTAGGACTAAGTCTCCGATACTGAAGTGGCGAAGGTTGGTTCTTCTATTATAATATCTCTCGATTCGTTGTTTTTCCGCAGCCATCCATACGAGTGCGGCTTCTCGTTTTTCATCCAATAATTCGAGGTTAGTATTCATAGCCTCGTGATTTGATTCTTCCGTTGTATGTCAAAATATGCCGCTAGGTTCCCCGACTTCGACTGGAATCAAGGCTTCGGAATCATATACTAAGGATAACAGGGTTGCCCCCGTACTAGACTTCGATGTTGTTCGATATGCCCAAAGGACCTCGGGTAGAATTTCTCTCCATTTTCCCTTGGCGTCGTTCAATCTTTTCTTTAGATTCTGAATGATAGTTTTTTTCATTGACTCGGCCTGTCCGTTTCCACTTGGATGATACGATGTTGATAAGATCCTTTTTATTTTATGTTCTTCGAGAAACTTCGTTACCTTGCTGCCGATGAACTGCTTTCCGTTGTCGCATACGATTTCGGTGGGTATCCCGAATCGGCATATGATGTGATCCCAGATGAAGTCTATAACTTATTTTTCTCTGACTTTCTCGAAGGCCTGGAAGTAGTCAGTCATAAACAAAATGAGTGACATAAATTTAGAGAAGTAGTCAGACATAAACAAAATGAATTTAGTTTTACCTGGAGCCGATGGTAGAGGGCCGACGATATCCATCCCCCATTTCATGAATGGCCATGGGGATAGGACCGAATGAAGTTGTTCTTAGGGCTGATGGATCATTGGTGCATACCTTTGGCATTTATCACATTTTCGAACAAACTCCTTAGCGTCTTTTCCCATACTATCCCAATAGTATCCTGCTCTGATGATTTTGTGAACTAGTGATTCGGCATCGGAGTAGTTCCCACAAGTACCTTCATGGACTTCTCGTAGAACATAATCGGTGTCCCCTGGTCCCAAACATACTGCTAATGGTCCGTCAAAGTCCTTCTGTACAATGTTCCATCTTTAGCCAATGTGAATCGAGCAGCTTTTGTTCGTAGGGCCCTCGATTCTTTAGGGTCCAATAGGAGCTTTCCGTTTTTCATGTATTCGATATATTTATTCTTCCAATCCCAAGTTAAGCTTGTGGAGTTTATCTCAGCGTGACCTTCTTCGATCACGGATCTCGAGAGTTGAACAACAGTCCCCAAGCTGATTTAGTCCTCCTCGACTGATGACCCCAAATTCGCAAGAGCATCGGCTTCACTATTCTGCTCGCGAGGTACGTGCTGCAAGGTCCATTCTTTAAAACGGTGCAAAGTCACATGTAGCTTGTCCAAATACCTTTGCATTCTATTCTCTTGAACCTCCAAGGTTTTGTTTACTTGGTTTACTACCAGCAAAGAGTCGCACTTGGCTTCAATGACTTCCGCCCCAAAGCTTTTAGCTAGTTCGAGACCTGCAATAATGGCCTTGTACTCGGCCTCATTGTTAGTCAACTTAGAAGTTTTGATGGATTCTCTAAAGTCTTGCCCGTGGGCGGCTTCAAGATGATGCCTAGCCAGGACCCCTTCACATTCGAAGCGCCGTCTTTGAAAAGGGTCCATACCCCCATGATGTACCCGATTTTAACAAGAATTCCTTCTCGACTTCGAGTACGAGGGTTGGCGTGAAATCGGCCACGAAGTCTGCTAAAATTAGAGACTTGATGGCCGTTCAGGGTTGATATTAGATATCATACCCACTGAGTTTGACGGCCCATTTGGCCAATTAGCTCGACAGTTCAGGTTATGCAAAATATTTCGAAGCGGGTAAATGGTTAATACACATATGGGGTGACATTGAAAATACGGCTTTAGCTTCCTAGAGGCGCTTATCAGTGCAAGTGCCAATTTCTCTAAGTGTGGATATCTAGTTTCTGCTTCTCCTCGAGTTTGTAGACATGTAATTTTTGACCCTCCCTTAGATTTTACACATTTTAGTATTAAATATTTAGTTTAGGTCTAATATCGCTACATTAACTAATTTTGACTCTTTTACTTTATTTTGTCACAAAAATAAAAATTACAAAAATATTTTCTTTCATTTAGCTAATTGATATTTTTATTTAGTTACTTTTAGTCTATCTATCTTTCATAAAATTAAAAAAAATATACAAAAATAGTTTCACTTTTAGTACTTAGTTTTATTTTAGTTTATTTTAATTAAGAGTGATTTTTTACACTTTATAGATACATTGTATTATTTGGTCTTCTTAGCCTAAATTCAAACCCAAAAGACATGGTCCAACCCAATTTCCTAAGTCCAAACCCATTACCCTTAGCCCAAATAACCTTAGTGTTGGCCTAGGAACATGTGAAGTTTTGAAGAATGACAAATGAACTCAGTCATGGACCAGGTCCATCATGTGAAGCACAGTGTTGGTCAACCTATACATGTGAGATGCACGTGAAGGCGATAAGTTCATTGATCAAGCAGCAATATCTCCTGAACTGATTGAAAAGGTTGCATATGGGATAAGGAGAGAAAGTCTCCTTATGAGAAGAGAATACAATCCGGATAAAAGATAGGGTTGGAGTTTGTGTTGTTCAAGGACCCAACTTCGATGGAAGATCAACAATTGAGTCTCAATCAAACTCTAATTACTAACTCATTAAATAACATTGATTGTTCTCTTTTACAGGTATTGCACAAACGCAGAAGTTAAACTAAAATGAGAGCAAAAGAGCGAGACAATTTTGCAAGCAATTTATGTGAGATATAAGTGTGTATTCCTGAAGCTACTTAGACAAGATAGAAGAACCAATTCCATTGTGTCTTTCTTTTATTTTAGTTCAATTGTAGTAGGTGATTTAAACTTGTACCTTTCAGCTTTCATAGTAGCAATTGTATTAGGTACTTTGAGTATTCAAGTTAGAGTTAACTTGAAGTTGTCGCAACAGTTGAGGCTGTGTGCCACAACGGGATTAGAGTTTAATCCTTAGGTTTACAAGAGTTTTGTAAATGCTATTTTGGCTCAGTGATTTTAGTGGAAGTTTGGGAAAATCCTACTGAGTAGTAGGTCGTGGTTTTTTCACCTTTTGAGCCAGGTGTTTTCCACGTAAAAATCTCTGTGTTCTTTATTTTTTGTATTTATTAATCCGCAAACAGCAGTAGATAGTACACTTAGAAGAACCAGGTTCTTCTAGAGCAAAAATTGGGTACCACACAGATCACCCCCCCCTCTTGTATGGTGTTGACGCTTATAACATCAATTCGTATCAGAGCAGGTTATCCTTGAAGAGGCTAACACCTTAGGAAAAGATCAACATGAGTGCACCACCTGGGAACTGGGAAAGGCAATCCAATGCTAGACCTCCACTTTTCAATGGTCAGTACTATTCCTGGTGGAAGAACAGGATGAGAGATCACATCATAGGGGAAGACTATGAACTGTGGGACATAGTCACTGATGGTCCCCTAGCAACCACAAAGAAGAATGTTGAAGGAGTTGATGTGCCTAAAACATGAGCTGATTGCACTGCTGAAGACCTGAAGAAGTGGGAGAAAAATACCAAAGCAAAGAAATGGCTTGTATGTGGACTAGGTCCAGACGAGTACAGCAGAATCCAAAGCTGTACCACTGCTAAGGAAATCTGGGACACTTTGCAAGTGGCTCATGAAGGAACACCTCAAGTGAAGAGGTCTAGAGGAACACTGTTGTATTCTCAATATGAAAATTTTACTATGAAGGAAGGAGAAACTACCACGAGATGTATACTAGATTCACTACCCTGACAAATGAACTTAAGTCTTTTGGAAGGATTATTCCTGAAGAAGACAAAGTTGAGAAAATCTTGACAAGGGTTCTGCCAGTCTCATGGGAAAGCAAAATCACTGCTATTCAGGAATCTAAGAATATTGCCACCCTCAAGCTGTATGAACTAATTGGAAATCTTACTGCCTATGAACTGAGAAGGGAAA